CCTTAGCTGCGCTGTCCCTGGCAACGACCCTTCTCGCTGCCTTAGACCTCTAAGATCCTTCCAAAATCCTTTAAATTGAGGAAAATAGCTTTCGGGGTTCCTGAACCGGATCTATTGGGGTCTCTATAAGGATACTAGTCTAAGGTGTGTTCCGGTTAAGGGAAATTGGAAGGTCTCGCAATGTCCGGCTTCTGCTCTGGTCCCCATTTGGCTCGACGAATGTTACTACCTAAACCCCCAAAGAGCAAGCAAACTAATGGCCCGACACCTGTAAACAGCAGTTTAGGGTTTAGGGTTTTAGGCTTCTGCATACGTTTGCGTGGTCCAGGTAGGTTTTCCTTCGTCCCCTACACCCTAAACCCCCTAAACGTTCAGGGCCGGCTGGGTCTGTGAGTTCGGATCAGTTCGTGCTTGGTCCTATGGCTGCCCGCCGCAGGTGAGCATCAAACGTGAGAAGAGGTGGGAGGGTTCGGGGTTGGATTTGGGATTCGTCTCCTGGGCGCCTTCGTCATCAGTTTAGGGCTCAGACTGTAGTCTTTCAGTGCAAAGCCCCCATTGTAGACCGAATAAACGACGGAACGGAACCCTGTGGCCTCCTCCTAGCTCCACGCTCCGAGCAGGACGAAGTACGTCGTTGTTGGCTTTTTTTGATTGAAACAGGAGCCACTTCAAAGACTTCCCCAGCCCCTTTTTAGAGCTAGAGCTAGAGATCCGAATATTTCTTGCCATGAAAGATGGTATGCCACAAAAGGGTGCTTTACGTTCAATGTTGAAGCCTCAAACCCTAAACCCTAAATCCTAAAGCCACAAATCCTAAGACCCTAAAGCCCTAAAGCCTACACCGAAAACCCAGGACTCGAATTCCTTAACCCCGACACCCACGAACACCTCTCTCTGCAGGCGTCGGACCTTGGATTTCAAGGCCGGCCTTGCAAATACTCCGAGAGTCCGAGAGGGGTTGCAGGGATAGTGGGTCTCTAGGCTAGGGTTTAGGGTTTAGGGCTAAACCCTAAACCCTAAACCCTAAACCCTATAGGGTTTAGCGATTAGGGGATAGTGGGTCTCTAGGGTGCCAGGGGCTTCGGCCCCTTGCCCAAATAGTAGATACATTGGCCCCAAAGTACCTACATAGGGACTACTTACAGGCCAAAGTATATACTATTTGGGTACATGGACCCTTAGGGATTTCTCTGTTTCTTGAAAAGTCATGGTAGTCGTAGTAGCAGTGGCATCGATTTCTTGGCCCCAGATCCCAGGCCCCGGCCCTAGGCCCCAAGACCCTAAATCCCGGGGCTCCAACCTTGCTTTTTGCGGCCAGGGTTAAAGGTTTCGGGTTTAGGAATTTAGGGTTTCGGATTTAGGGTTTAGGGTTTAGGGTTTTGGATTTAGGGTTTAGGGTTTAGGATTTAGGGTTTAGGGCGTTTAGGGTTTTTCTGATAAAGCCTAAGACTCCCGAGCCCTAGGACAATGCCGGAGCCCTTCCTCCGCAGCCTTGAGCCGAAATACTCTAGGGGGCTTAAAGGAATACCTAAACTATTTTGGTGGCCCCAACACCCTATTCCAATTAAACAGGGCCCTGTCTTCCGATTTAGGGTTTAGGGTTTAGGTTTAAATACTATAGGGGCGAAAAGGAATACCCAGACTATTTTGTGGGGGGGGTTCCTGTTTGTAATCATAGGACAAAAGGGCCCCAAAACCCTCTTTTAGGGTTTGATGCTTTGCCAGGCGTGGAAAGTGGACTTCACCCGGGTCCGGAGCGAGGTCGCGCACGGACGCATATGGGTGGGGCTTAGGGCAGGGTCTAGGGTCTAGGGCTGAGTGTGTAGACCCTAAACTAAACCTTAAACCGTAATCCCTAAACTCCTGGGGCGACTGCAGGGTGTAGGTCCAAGGCTTTGGGTTGGGAGTTTTTGTGGCCAGGCGTAGGATTCAGAAACGTAGGCAAGGACAGTAGGATGTTCGCAGATATCGCAGGATAAGCATTAGTGACCACGAAATTCATGATAACAACCTGAGCAAAACCATAGCAAATACAGCCAGCATCTTCACCCACATCGCCGCGATCGTGGCTAGTTATCTTGACATACCCTCAACCCCTAAACCTTTATTATAGAAAGCTTAGACAATTACCAACAGTATTCATCAGGGCTCCTTATTCTAATTATGCTAGACTATACCCCAAAGCTCTGGTCTTCTACGTGCCCCGTATTAAGCCATGAAGCCCTTGAGCCCCAAACTCTTGCCCCCCCAAACCTCAACAGGCTCCACTTACATCAAGTGCTAAACCCCAGATCCCTAACTCTACAACCTGAGTCCTGAACTCACTTTTTGGAACAAATCTCCCCTCACCGCGTGCAGGCAGATGGCAATCCGGCGTCTCGGAATTGATTCAGATTTGATACATTTGAGGGTTTTCGGGTTCCTCTAAGGGGTCCATCAAAGGGATCTACCAGGATTTGGGGTTCGGGTTTTTTGGGTTTGGGATTTAGGCTTTAGGGTTTGGGGTTTAGGGAATTGATAAACTACTCGAAAATGTCTGGTTCTTTGTCTTTTGTCTTTTGTGTGTGTGTGTGTGTGTGTGTGTGTGTGTTTGTCTGTTGCTTTGATGTTTTGGGTGGTGTGCTTGGGGTATAACCCAGGACCCTCGACCCTCAACCGGGAGGGCCGGAGTTTAGGTGTTTAGGGTTGTATAGGGTTGAGGTTTCAAGAGGTTGGGCTTATAAGGTCAATTCAGACAGTTCATTGCTAAAGCCCATCAACAATTCCCTAAACCCTAAACCCTAACCCCTAACCCCTAAACCCACAATTCCTAAACCCAAAGGCCCCCACACAAACATCACAACAGCTCAAGGTTTGAGCCCTTGTGAGGCGGCAGAAAGACGAAGCCCTCCCTGCCCCACGCTGGCCTCATCGGCTGAGATGCCAAAGCCTCCTACTGTGGACTCCCTAGGGTTGAGGGTTTAGTAGGGTTTAGGGAAAGCGTGAAGGAAACCCTCCCTTATTGATTATAAGGAGGCGGAAGACTTGTAACTATAACATGAATTATGCCGGACGTTTTTGCACGGGGTTCTTGAGCCACGGCTTTCTGCTGAGGCTTTCTGGCCACACGGAAATCTGTATCGAAGCCTCACAGAGCCCCTGTAGAACCTTGAACTATGATGCCCTGCAAAAGCTAATACTTGTAGTTTCTGAAGCTCCCAAACCCCAAACCCCTAAACCCTAAACCGGAAAAAACCCGAAACCCCTAAACCCTAAACCCACCCCAAACCCCTAAACCGGAAAAAAACAACCGAAACCCCTAAACCCTAAACCCACCCCAAACCCTAAACCCTAAACCCTAAACCCTAAACCCTAAACCCTAAACCCTAAACCCTAAACCTGAAAAAAACAACCGAAACCCCTAACATCCCAAGCTCCAGGTGCTGAGCTACGAGGTCGAGCTGGAGTTGAAGTCGACTTTGCTGCGTAAGAACCTGGAGGCAAAGCGCAATGGTACCATGGCCGCGTTTAGGGTTTAGGGTTTAGGTTTAGGGTTTAGAGTTTAGGGTTTAGGGTTTAGGGTTTAGGGTTTAGGGTTTAGAGTTTAGGGTTTAGGGGTTTAGACTGTAGGCGATTCGTTCCCGGGCTTTGCTTCAACATCGCAACAGCCAAACCTAGCTGCCTAGCTCGTCGTTATTTTTGTTGTGACCTTCTGTGGTCAACTGGGGATTGGCAGATTTGGGATTTGGGGTGCCCGAAACCCTAAACCCTAACCCCCTCTGCAGTCATAAGGGTCCCTTTTGGGTCCTTATTATAATACTGCACCTATTATTTAGGGTACCCCAAAAGGGACCCTAATTTTGACAACTACCTCATAAGGGTTTCTGGGTTTCGGCGCTTTCTGCAACTGAAACCTGAGCCTTCCTGGTAGCTGCACAGTACCTCCACCTGAAGAGCGTCTAGAACCTACGTAGTAACAGACTGAGGGTGGAGACCCTAAACCCTAAACCCTGGACCCTAAACCCTAAACCCTAAACCCTCAACCCTCAACCCTAAACCCTAACCCGAAGCCTCAAGCTCTGAGGGGGGCGAGGGCCAGGGCTTTCGGGGTATTATCGGGTTTTGTTTAGGTTTAGGGTCCTTAAATATACCTGCCAACTCCATGTTGGGGTTTCTTTCTTATACTTATAGTAGATTATTATACCCCGAAACATCATTCGAATGTATTAAGGCCCCTACACTGGCGTTTTTTGCGTTCGGGGACTGCTCGCTTCAACACCAAGCCCGGACTATCTGAAGTGGATCTCAGGAGATGATACCCACAAGCTGCCGCTCGGATGCAAGCCAGATGACCGTGCTTTTTTATCACATAATATAGGAGCTTAAATCATTACTAATACTATGTTGGGGTTCCTTATCATAATTATAGTATAAAGGGCCCCAAAACCCACTTCTAATTTTTAAGGCCCCTGCATTCCGAACTCTTGCTGTTCCAATCGGGGTCCGAAGGCACAAATCCGAATCACTTAATCACCGGGCTGGGAATGTCAACATTGCAGTTTAGGGTTTAGGGTTTAGGGTTTAGGGTTTAGGGGGTCCTTCTTTCGAAGCGACGACCAGTGTCTGAACCTCCTATGTAGGGGCTGAGTCATGGTTTCAGTAACCTGAGGCATGAAGTAGCCCTTGTAGTGCAGCTGGGAGGAGGGGGGGTTTAGGGTTTAGGGGGAGGGAGAGGAGGAGCAGCAGCTTAGTAGTTAAAGCGGTTGTCGTAGTTGTGGCAGCAGAGGCAGCAGCAATCCCAGAAGCAGCTGCCCCAGCAGCCGCAGCAGAAATAGCTGTGAGAAGCACCGTCGCGAGCAGTAAGAGACGTAAATGCAAAAGTGTGAGGGCAACCTAGTTACATAGCCTAGGGCTCATGACTATTATCCCTGAATACCAAAGCCCGAAACCACCAAAACTTTTCGTAAACCATGAGCCTCTAACCTACCCCCTAAAGGGTACGAATCATAATGCACTGCCCTTAACCCCTAAGCCCTTAAACCCTAAACCCTAAACCCAAGCCCTAAACCCTAAACCCTAAACCCTAAGCCCTAAACCCTAAACCCTAAACCCTTAACCCCTAAGCCCTAAACCCTGTACACTTTGTTTTGCAGCACTGCGCAGGTGGGAGCTGCTTACCGACTTCTTAGATGCCAGCCGGGATTTAGCTGCAGCTCGCAAGAAACCCTAAACCCTAAAAAAAAGATTTGAAACCCTAAGATAAGCGGTGGGACTTTGGGGACCAGGGATTCAGGGGTTTAGGGTTTGAGGGAGTTTGGGGTTGGGGATCAGGGATTTAGGAGTTTCGAGGTTGAGGGAGCTATGGGTTTCGGGCTGATTCGGGGGTTTAGAGTTTAGGGTTTAGGGTTTAGGGTTTAGGGTTTAGGGTTGAGGGAATGATGGGGTTAAGGGCTCCAGGGCTTGAGCGTTGAGGGAAGCACAAGGGACGTGGACCCTTTGACCCATCAGCTCTAAGCCGGGTTTGAGACGAACTCTCATCTTGAAAGCAGCTACTCAGCTTAATTCAGGGTTCAGATGTCAGATCCGAAACGACTTTAAGATGTTTTGTAAGCACAATATGATACCTGATACGGTAGATGTCTGACTAGTATAGAAAAAACGAGAGAACTTGGCGCTAGTCAAAAATGTACAAAGTTATAAAGAACCCCCCCCCCACACACACATTAAAGAGGTCCGCAGCCCTTGGCAAAAGCTTCAACTCCCGGATCCTCAAGCCTGAGAAGCGAGAAGCCCAATCTCAAACCTTCAAAGGCCCAAGGCCTTCATACGCCTTAGGGCGGTAATTAGGGTTTAGGGTTTAGGGTTCAGGATTTATAGGGTTTAAGGGTTTAGGGATGATTAGGGTGAAGGGTTCCGGGTACAACGCGCAGCCCTAAAGCCCGGAAGCCTCAAGCCCTCAGCCTTAAGAAAGCCCCTTCCCGGAGGACTTTGACAAGCCTGCAAGGCAAATGCAGACGAACGAAGCCACCCAAACAGAACGGTGTGCGAGGTGGGCCGACAAGAAAGACCCTAAACCCCAAACTCTACACCTTTGGGCAGTGCCAAAAGCACTGCGGCCTTTGACGCCAAGCACTTCAGCGTGAGACGGAGCACCCGTGCGCCGTTTCTGGCAAGGATCGGGCTGAAAGCAACCCAAGAAACCAAGAACGTTTAACCCTAATATAGGGGCCTAAATAATTACATATACTATTTTGGTTTCCTTATTGTAATTATAGTATAATGGGCCCCTAAACCCTATTCTAATTATTTAGGCCCCTTTGTTAAGCCCCGAAGCCCTGAACCTAAGACCCGTGACCCTAAAGCACCGCCTCAACCCTCAACCCTGACACCTTGGACCCCGAAGCCATAGAAACCCTTGACCCTTCAGAAACCCAAGACTCTAAATTCCTTGAAAGCTCCCAAAAGCTTTAAACCCTAAACCCTCAACCCTGAACCCCAAAAGCCCTAAGCCTTAACCTAAACACCTAAACCCTCAACCCTAAACCCTAAAAGCCCCAACAGCCTTAAAAGCCCTAAACCTCAAACCCTAAACCCTAAACACCCTCAACCCTAAAACCCCCAAAAAAGTAAAGGCGCTGGCCTCTGAAACCTGGCCTCTCAAGAAGCCACCGGCGCTGAAACCGGAGCCGGGATTTCGGGGCATTGAGATTTCCGGGGGTTGGGAGTTTGGGATTTAGGGGGGGCTTTTGGGGTTTTTAAGTTTGGGATGTAGGGTTTAGGCTTTATATAGGGCTTTTTGGGATTTTAGGGCTTAGGGTTTACGGCTTAGGCTTTAGGGTTTAGGTGTTTGGGGCTTACGGTTTGAGGATGTAGGGTTTTTTTTTCGGGTTTTGGTCGGGCTCGCTGAAAGGGCTGTGAACGGTTTACAAAGAGGCTCAGAGGATGGTAACTTGAGCAGGGTTGCGTAAGATCCGATCATATTCGGTTTAGGGTTTTAGGATTTAGGGCTCTAGGACAGTTTCAGGTGGGTAGTTACCGTTATAGGAGCCTTATGGAAGGTCTATATATACCTTATGGAAGCCTTATAGAAGCCCTTTTATACCCTAAACTCCCCACCTGTAGTTTCCTTTAACGTTCCTACAGCTGATGGTTTAAATTCTGTCTTACCCATAATAGGGAATATACCATAACCCCATAGCTTGGGCTCCTTAAGGTACTGCAGGATTTCTATCAGTATTGCCAAACGTCTATATTTTCTTTTACAGGCCAACCAAAGCCCATGGGAAAACACATAAACCCAACATGTATATAAGGCTTTCTGTCAGGGCAGCGCGTCCACTCCAGCAGAGCACACGACTGGTAGCCTGCCCGGAGGAGCCTTCGACACACCTCGCACGCAATGCCAATTCACGCCCGAAGCAAACACACCTGCTCACTTCCCGCAGCTCACTCGCGGCTCGATCCATCGTCGAACAGATGCGGCACCCCTGGCAGGCAAGCTCCGATCAGTGGCGCCGGCCATACCACCAAAGAAAGACCTACGCAGAGCACGGAAGCAAGGGCACACGGAACCCACGCAAACAATCCGTCGACCAGCAGATCGCACAGGCCGTCAGACGGCACTGGAACCGTTGCCGCGAATCCTGGCCTTCAAGCAAAGGTGCCAAGACCAGCGCGGGGCAGGCGCTGCGTCCCGTCGCTTCAGAAGCAAACAACACCGCCAGAAGCCCATCCCTCCGCCCACTCGTTTCAAAGCTTGCGGCAGCAGACCCATTCGGA